GCCATTACGCATTTCACAGTAACCATAACTCTCGCGGGGTTTAGTTTTAGGGCGGCCACCCAGCGCTGAAACTCCCTCATGTGTAAGCGTCCCAGTCGTACGACCAGGATGAGCCCCAGCAATCGCAGGCATGATCTGAAGAGAACATGTTTGCGCAGCTGGAAAAGAGCCAGACAAGCTCTGAAAGCTTTCACTCTTTCCGCTGACAAGCGAGCTGAAAAGGGCACCGAGTTCAGGCGTAAACCCAGGAAGAGTATAGTCTGCGCGGGGCACAACATGCTCTTCTCTGTGTTTATTATGAAACCCAGGTTGAGCAGGTGCTTTACGAGGACATTTGTCTGCGTAACAGCCTCCTGCTCCGACTGTGCGAGAAGCAGCCAGTCGTCCAGGTAGGTCGCCAGGCGAATACCCTGTTGTCTTAACGGGGCTATCGCGGCTTCCGTACATCGTACAAACACCCTTGGACTGAGAGACAGACCGAAGGGGAGTACTCTGTATTCATAACAGATCCCCTGAAATGCAAATCTCAGATATTTCCTGTGTGGGTAATATACTGGGATGTACGCATCTTTCAGGTCGACTGATGTAAACCAGTCGTCTTGTCGCACGAGCCGCAGCAGAGATGTGTGAGTGAGCATTCTGAACTTATATCTTTTTAGATATTTGTTCAGAGCCCTCAAATCAAGTATTGGCCGAATTCCGTTCCCTCCCCGTTTGGGAACGAGGAAGTACTTGGAATAGAAACCGCCCTGACTCTGCTCGGCGGGTACAATAGATATAGCCCTCTTTTCTAGGAGTGAGAGAATCTCTCTCTCCAGAATATGGGCTGACTCTCCTCGGGCCGGCGAATGCAGAATGCCCGAGAAGCGAGGGGGGGGTGACGGTGACTTGGAGTCTGTAGCTCCGTGTAACTGTCTTGAGAAACCCAAGCAGATGTCGTGAGCATCTCCCGCTGTATGCTCCTTAGAGCCAGCTGAGATGTCACGTCTCTTCCCCTCTGAGTCTCTATTTGTTGTGTTATGGGGCCCTCCAGTGTCTGAACACTGTGGTGCCCCATTTCGACAATCCCCAGCCGGCATTGCGCATGCGCGTGACGGTGGTGCCTTCACACCCCCAGCCGGCACTGCGCATGCGCGTGACGGTGGTGCCTTTACAGCTCCAGCCGGCACTGCACATGCACGTGACGGTGGTGCCTTTACAGCTCCAGCCGGCACTGCGCATGCGCGTGACGGTGGTGCCTTCACGATCCCAGCCGGCACTGCGCATGCGCGTGACGGTGGTGCCTTCACAGACCCGTCAATTGTCCGCCCTTTGAGAGAGGCCGTAGCTGCTCTCAGAAGGGGAACAGTTGACGGACTGTTTATTGTTTTTATTGTTTTTATTTTAATTTTTTCGAGCTGCGCCCTTGGCTCGAAGCCTGGATGCGTCAGCGGAAAATGTTTTATGACAGAAAAATCAATAAGTGTGTGACATGTGTTTATGCGGACTTGAGGATGGTGTTGAGGCATCTCTCGAGGCGGCGGGAACACATTTAGAGCTGGGGAACCGTAGACTTCCAGCTCTGTCACAGAGGGGAGAAGGAGGGGCTGTCACGCCGCTCGCTTCTTCTTCCTCGACTGCTTGCCGAAATTCTGGGTTGGCTGCGCCTGGGCTGCAGCCGGAACCGGAGATTTTCTAGGCCAGCTCGACCTCTGCGTTTTCGGTATTTTGAACCGAGCAGGGTTCGGAGCAGCTTGGACGAAGGGCTGCCGCTGCGAAGGCAGCGGCTGGGCCCTTCGAGGGAGGCAGAGGTGGAGGGCCTCGTCCTCCTTCTTTTTCGACTCGCATCTCCTCTGCATGGAGGCAAGAGCGGAGCCGAAAATCCCCTCGGGAACGATGGGCATGTCAAGCACATCCTCCTTTTCCCGGTCTGGGAGGTTGGTGAGGTTGAGCCATCTAGCTCTTTCCTGCACCACCATGATCCCCATTGTTTTGCCCGTGGCCTGGACAGCGCAGCGTTGGACACGGAGACAAATGTCTGTGACCGCGGCCAACTCATCCAGAACGGCCGGTCCAGGATTACTTAACATATCCTCACAGAGCTCCGCTTGGTATGCGGTTAGCAGTGAGGAAACGTTCAGAGCCCTGGCGGACAACGCTGCGGCTCTGTAGGACCGTTCAGTCATGGTCGACTGGAAACGGTCCAGCTTCGCTGGCAGCGTGGGGTTCCTGCTTGGTGACGGGCCCATCCTCGGTAGGAGGTGGGCTGGCACCAGCAGTTCCATCGGCGGTATGCGGAACAGGCCGAGCCTCTGCGGGCGAGACCATGGTGAGGTCTCGCCGGGAGCTCCCGCCTGGTGAGGCGTGGGGCTCCGTTCCCGCGTCTCTTGCCGCCACCGGGTCCCGGCCTGACACGGCGTGGGATCCCGGGTTCCGCAGCTGCCGCTGTTAGTGAGCCCCAGACCAACACAGTGAGGGGCTCAGTCTCTGCGGCGGACGCCCCCGTGTCTTGATTGGCTAACCGCGAATCAGTGGACATGAGGGAGTCCTGTTCCAACAAGCTAGCTTGGTGTGCTAGCCGTCGGTGGAGGCTCTTTCGGGTGAAACGGGCACAATGCCCGCACGAGCCGGGGTTGTCGATAGCCTCCTGTTCCAGCCCGAGGCAGGACGAGCAGACCTGGTGTGAGTCTGTGCCTGCTATCTTCAACCCGCAGCCGCATGACCGAGCCTCCGAGTCCCTGACTCCTCTGGTGTGAGGGGGAGAGGCGTCCATCTTGTTCGCCTCGTGGCGTGGAGAGAACCCGCTCGTAACAGGTACGTCGTTGAGAGAAAAAGTGTTACCAACCCGTCCTTAATCCGGAGAAAAAGGGACGGTGTGGGTCCTTTGTTCTCAAAGAATATTGACTGGTGTGTCAATATACTTCTAATCCTTTTCTCCTCCGTGAGAGAGAAAAATTAAAGCGTCCTCGCTACCGTGGTGTCGGTAGTAAGGGGAAGCTAGCTAGCAACAGGTGCGTAGCTAGCTTGAGAAAAATCAAAACCTTACCTTGCTTTCCGGGGAAAGAAACGGCGAGGTCGATTTTAATACTAACTGGCGTTAGTATTACCGTCTTCTTGCGAAGCAGAAGGAGTAGCCGGCGAGCGCCCGTCGACCGAAATGGTTATATTTGGGTTCAGTCTGTGGACTGTTAAGCTTGTCCGGCTACTATAGAGATGTGCTCTGAAGCGAGAAGAGGTGTTTGAATGACGCATGCGTCGTGGCGCAAGCTACTTATAGGGGGTGAATTCCCTGACGCTGACGTCAAGATCACCAGCCAATCAGGATTGGCGTAATGAGATTGATGCTTCTGTTTGCTCCGCGATGAGGCGCATCCCCATAGTGGGACATCGAACGGAGTGTTATGAATGAGAACTGTGATGATGCAACAATAAAGTCTAAAGTAATGTTTTCAGCACCTGAAACCCTAACCACTATTCAAGGTAAGAGGATGATAAATATATGAAAACAATAACAATACCTGTGGTTTCAGCTGATATTGACTTTAATAATGTTTAAACATTTCATATGCACTGAAGTTAGATTTGTTTCACTCTGTTCTATGGCTTCACACTTCACAGTTTCATAGCTGCATGTGCTTGTGTGATATGGTCTTGACAGGAAGCCAAGTACATCTTTGCAGAAGCTGCACGCCCAAAAGTCAACAGGAAATGAAAGCCCATAAAGACTATAGCTCAACATGTAAACTAATATACACACAACTGGTGTGATCTTAACTGGTCTCCCTAGTATTTGAAGAAAGGGGGAGAAAGATACAGAAATGACCTCTTCTCACTTTAGATCTATTTTAGCAAAATGATCAGATTGTGGTGATGGTCAGAAGAAAACACTGGTGACTGCTGCTAGGAGACAGGATGCTGACCACGGTTTCTGCTTTTAAAGTCATGCCATTTATTTTACAATAGGGTACCTTATTACAATGTAAATATTTCTATGCAAAACAAGGTTAACAAAAAGGGAAAAACAACACATGCTGTAGTTTTACATAATCAAAGTCTCCAAAAATCAACCTTATGAAAACCTTTCTCTGAGTGAAATATCCAAACCCAGGACTCCATGTTTTTTTTAATGCACTTCTCCATCATATAAGGATATTCACAATGTCTTTTCATACAGATATACCCAAAATGCTGCCTAATATTGGGTTTCTTTGAAAAAAGGAAAGCATGTATGAACTTTGGTTGAATGCACATCAAAGGCCTGTAATGACTGATTCATTGTTAGGCTATTATTCAAAGGATGGTCCTTGCCACATATATTTTAGGCATTTTCAGTTTTTTCTTAATCAAATCAAATGATGTGAAATGCTGAATGCCCTTACACACCACCCTAACACTAAGTATCCAAGATGATCACCTGAATTGATGTAACTGCAATACTTCCATCCTGTGTAAAGAACAAGCTGACACAATAATCATAAACCCAACCTCAATGCATTAGTATCCGGTGTGACTCACCCACACTCACAGAATTCACATTTGTGCATCGCAGAAATCTGAGATGTGCTGATCAAAATGTCCTGACATAAATACATATTTCAAATGTTTCAGGTGACTTAATCATGCATGTCTGAAGCAGCATTATAATTTCTAACCTAATCAAACATTAACTGTTCAAAAGCGGCATAGGAAAGATGAAAGGACTCAGGGTAATAAGCGGTGATAGGTATACCTCTGGATGAGTTTATAGCCAGCTGTTTATTTTAATGGGACTCAAATTACCAATCAGCACTTCTGACTTTACACCCTCCAAGTTTCCATCGGCACTCTATCTATCCTATCAACACTTTTTCATTCCAGCCTGAAATGTTTCATATATTTGTATTCTTATCTTAACCTTTTCAAGCCTTGTCATCTCATCTTTTCATTTCCTCTTACCATTGGCCCTCTCTGGTCTACACAGGAAGTGTCACAGTGTGCCCTGCCCCTGTCGCTGCCTCTCATCTCTCAGCCACAGAGACACACACGCCTCTGTGAGCAGTAACTCACCCACAGAGAGGAACTGTGGTTCATACCAAAGTTTCTCCACCTTAACACAGCTTATCCTCCCCAGCTCTACTTGGTGTTCAGTTCCTCTCAGATAATCCATCTGTCAGCCAGCTGCAGCTGAGCCACACTGCAGCCACAACATGAGCCTACGGAAACTCAGTGAGTACTGTGTGTGTGTGTGTGTGTGTGTGTGTGTGTGTGTGTGTGTGTGTGTGTGTGTGTGTGTGTGTGTGTGTGTGTGTGTGTGTGTGTGTGTGTGTGTGTGTGTGTGTGTGTGTGTGTAGAGCAGCTGCACTTCATGTGTTTACATATATAGTAAAGCATTAACTGCCATGTTAGTTTTAAAACAATGTGGTGATAATTATGACATCCAAAAACACAGTTGCAGCTTCATTTCAATTCAGAAAAGAAGACGTACCACGATATTAAGAGATTTTATAGAGACGTGCTGTGTTTATTCTAATACATTTATATAGAAATATAATTGTTATTATAAACAGTATAGCTGCAAATGGTTGACTGCTTCTACATCTCATTTGTTGGGACACAATCAAGACACTTGCTCAGAAAGGGGTATTTTGCAGTAACAATTCATTTGAAGCTGAATTTGTTGATGTTGGCCACTTCAGGGCAGCAGAACAAACTGAAAACACAACATCTGTAGGTTTATGTTACTATTTGTGGATCTGTTTTAGTCTTTAACAACTTGATAAAATATAACTAACTCTTAATGTACTCTTAACCAATATATAATAAGAGCTATGTGTTGGTTCAACACCAGACATTTCATAATAGTGATTTGATGTAATATAAATGTCAAATTATTATTGTACAGCTGTAATCCAACCAGCTTCTTTAACTTCTCTATCCCCATCAAACACGTCACAGTTACCACATTCTGAGCATGTCTTATTTTCTGACTGTTCCACCCTCAAGGTTCCAAGTGGTTTGGTAGCCTCACCAACCTCACATTTCGTCGCTCCACTGAGAAATCAGACTCCAAGTCCTCTTCAAAGTCTGAATCAGGAATTGTGCCTGAAGATGGCACGAACTGTGGTGGCGTCACCGAGGCGACCCTTGCTCCAGTGGTTGAGACCACCATGGATGACATGGATGCCATGCGTCCTCGCACCTCCAGCTACATCCGCTCTAGTGAGGACTACTCTCACATGGGCACCTTGCCACGGCTACTCATGAAGAGAAGAAGCAAGAATAATAAAGGTAAAGCTTCAGAAGTTAGGAACAACACTTTTGTGATATCTATTAAAGGTCCCCTATTATACTCTTTTTCATCAATATATTATAGGTCTCAGATATATACAAAACATGTCTCTGAAGTGTTTGGCTCTATACCAAACAGATCGTGCATTGTAGCATCCCATAATCCCCTCTGTATCAGCCCTGTTCCAAAAGTGCTGATTCTGGGTCTGTTACTTTTGATGAAAATAAGGAGCCACTCCCCACGCCGCTCTGCTCTAGGAGGAGATTCAGGTGATAAGGTTGGCGGGGGTTACCTTGGTTGGTGATTGGCTAATGGTTACACAAGCCAAAAAAATCTTATGACATCACAAAGTGGCCAAAATATGATCAGCTCATTTTCAGACAGGTTTTTATATAAATGGATCAGGACACAACGTGAGGGGGTCTTTGTTCCTGAAACTTTCAGAATCTCTTTACACAGAGTGTATGTATAAAATGCATGAAAAAGTGGATTTTCCATAATAGGTCACCTTTAAGCTAAACAAATCTTTATGTTTATTTTTGATGTTCCTGCCTCTTTGTAGGAGGCCCCAACGGCAATAAGAAGAGTAAAGACAAGACAAGCATCAGCAGAAGTCAAAGCCAGCGACCTGTAGGGTCCCAAGAGTGGGCCCCCCTGAGGCTCAAATGTCCCTTACCCACAGTGGCTGATGTAGAGCTTGGGAAATCCTTTCTCACTGATCCCAAGACCCAGCCTGAACCTGCAGGGGAAACTGATGTTGTCACAAACACCCAAAACACCGACCATGGCCCTGTAGCTGCCATGCCGCCATCTAGTGGCTCAAGTGCCGCACCCAAACCAGAGGCTTGTGACGAGCAGTGCATCACCCAGACAGGTGTGGACATGAATCCAGAGGATGGGTTGGAGCCTCAGGCTGTGTCTGAACCAAAGCAGGAGGCAGAGAGCACAGAGCTGACAGGAGGAGGCGACAAAGGAAAAGGAAATCCAGACTCTGACAGCGTTTACTGGTGATTTTCATTATTTTTCCTGTTGGATTTAAACAGTATATTTTTCATCCTTTTGAAAACTTATTGAAAGAGAAAAACGAACTTGTTCAGGAAGAGGGGACAATGCCATTCATTAAAGGGCCGGGTGTATAACATGTTGACCCAGATTTGGGTGGTACGAATTGTTATTAACACTAAGCAAAGGTCATAAAGTTCATAAAGGACAACAGATCGGCCCATTAAAAATAAATGTGTTAACATCAAGTGACGACTAAAGAGTACCAAAAAAGTATTTCCAAGTATTTTTATTTATTGGAAAATATTACACATGATTCTCTGTCCACTAAATTGGACAAAAACACACCGCTCCTAATATACCAACCTCATTATTAACTACAAATCGTATTTCATTTCATCTAGTTTGCCGTTGTGGTAATTAAAACAACACTTTGTTGAGATTACTTGAATTATTCGAGTAATGGATAGTGTAGTGTATTTATAGTACTTATTTATATACAACTCAAGAGCTTGCAATTGACACCACACCACACTTGCCTAGTGTGAAAATATATTATATTCCTTAGCTTAGGTAGCCTTATTTATTTATTCAAATAAACACACAGTAAATGTTGGCCTTGGTATAATCCAGGACTGAATAACTGTACACATACAGTGAAGACACGTTGGGTCAATATAGGGAACAGAAGCGCAGTTTTGCCCCTGGCCCTGGAAAAGGTTAATCCGTCCATGCTCCATGTTAACCAGGGGGCGTAAAATGATTTAACTGTGCGTGGAGACACCGGGAAGTTGGCTGCTTCACAGAGTGCTGACTTTACTGTGTGGACACAACTTGCCTCGAGCGATGGGTGTGAGCTGAGACGATAACAGGATTCATTACTTGACTTTTTCACAGGCAGCAGGTGATATCGATCACTTTCATTGATCAGATGCTGGCGTAAAGCTGGCGCACTGTTGGTTTCTTTTATGTTTTCTTATATTTTGCATTGATTTGTGTGTTTCCTCACAGGAGACCGAGGTCATTTTGTGCGTTAATTGTGTGCGTTACATAATGTGTGGATAAAGGATAATGGATAAAGTGGATTAATCAACACATTTAGAGTTTTAGGGGAACATGTTGTTTAACTCCTCCTCCCGATTGCATCTTCTCCTCGCTACTTTCTCATGAGATGTCTCACTGCTGACAATATTCCATGCGTGATAACGGAGTGCGTGTATCGTGTTACAGTAGGATGTTGCGGTGTGTGTGCACGCGTGGGTATGCGCATGTGCGAGCGTGTAGCATCAGCCCATTAGTTCAGCACAGGGACCGTGGGAAATATGGCTTTATGGTAGGTTCACTATGGCCACTTCAAAGAGCTCTCTGTCTCCTCAGCCCTAAATCACAGGCACTTCACTCAGCCTGACTGTCCATTTCCCTCTCCTGCTCTTATTCTGTCCAAAGTGCAGCTCTTCATACTTTGTCTGGCTTTGCCTTATGGAAAACAAAGTTCACTTCTCAGTCAGTGGTGGTGCTGCTGGTAAGATTTGTCTTTGAAGTGAAATGCTGTCATGGTGTGTTAGTCGGTTTTTAGCTGGCATGATTATATATTTAGTTCTTTATTTGTTGGGCACTAATTTAAGAAGGGGGCCCTCAGCTAGATTGATGTTTAACTAAAGGTAAAAACGAGTTGATTTACAGTAAATCTCTGGCTTTACCATCTCAACTGTGATGCTCTTTTTCGTTGTTATACTGTATGACAACTAAATATAGTTTAGTGGTGGACTGTTAGGTCAGATGAAAGAGTTTCAATATGAGCATATGTTCTGTAACATAATACACGAAAAACGTAACTACAAGGTAACATAGTTTATGTTAACTTGTAGTTAAGTTTTTCATTAACTTGTGACATTTTAGAGACACAACAATTACCTGATCCATTAATAAAGATAACATGCAGATAAGTGTAGCCCCAAGCAAAGCCAATTTCAAATCAATTTTAATTATATAGCCCACGATAACATGTTTCTCTCAGAGCTTTACAGTGTGTACAACCTATGACAGCCTCTGTTCTCACATCCTTGAGTCAGATGCTGTTGCTGTTTGTACAGAGTAGAAGTAGTAGTAACAAATAAAAGTCAAACTTTATATCACGTGTAATAATTTAAAGTCAAAGTACAAGGGTTTCATACAGCAACTTAAGTTTACTGCTCTATTTGAGGTTGTTGCAACACATTGACTATTGCCTGCAGACACTTTGCATCGTTGCCAAGCTTTCTGTATTGTGTTTTGAGAAGTTATTAAGAGATTGAATAAAGATCGCTTTTACTGCAGTCATAAAACAACTGTGAGGGGTTCTGCATAAGATAAATGGTGTTTATTATAAATCTATTGTAGTGCTCGATGGCCTTCTTGCTATCTCGGTCTGCTGTTTTTATAGCCTGATGTATGATTGGTATGTTTTTCTATTTACATCTCAGTCACATTCTTGTCTGGATAAATGCTGATGTTATCAGTGAAAATGATGGAGGGCAAATATTTCCCACTGTACAACCATTTTTCAAAAATGTAATCTCAGGGGCAGTTTGGTGAGGGAATATTAGCTCCTCTGTCGTGGGACCTATTAACATTCCCCTGGATGAGGCCCTTTGATCTGGCCTCTCTGTGGTCATGTGTAACACAGCTTCGCTCGGGGGCCCTATGAGACCCATCATGCAAATTGGAAACTGCGGCGATTGATCCCGAAACTTGTCTGCGAGTGTAATTGCCCCTTTAGCTCTCCCTCGCTCTGTATCACAAAGTACCAACAGTAGGACTCCCAGGGCTCCGGCGCAGCGGGGGTTTTGACACATGATCCGGATACATCATGAGTGTAAAAGTTTGAGTTATGGTGCCTGGGAGATTTGAGAGGCCAGCTCCATATTTGGCAACTTTAGCTGCTCAGTGGCGTTTGTTATCTATCCATTTTCGCATAAATCTGGCCTGCAACAACATGCAACTCAGTGGAGAGGCCGCTGCAGAGGAGGGGCATGGGAATACAGCCGTGTTTTATGTCTGTAGTAACATTCACCTGTTACCAGACCAGATCAAACACATAACTGTGTGCACATGTGTGTTGATACACATGTTCACACAATTCAACAGGGGTTTACAGCCTTTTTCCTGTTATTACACTGGCTAACATTTCCTCTCTTTCATCTTTTCTCCCATTTCTTCAGTCTCATGGAGCCAGCAGAGAGCCAGGGGGAATATGTGCAGGTAAGTCTGCTTCCAGGAGTGTGTGTGTGTGTGTGTGTGTGTGTGTGTGTGTGTGTGTGTGTGTGTGTGTGTGTGTGTGTGTGTGTGTGTGTGTGTGTGTGTGTCCTCTGGCACACACACTGTCCTCAACTGTCTGTGTCTATGTACTTGAATTATAATTCTGCAGATGAATGTGCTCTTGTATGTGTGTGTTTGCATGTAAATGAACAGCTCGCTCCTTTACAAAAGCATTTTGTCCTTTTATTTATTTTAATTCACTTTCAGTCACACACACACACACACACACACACACACACACACACACACACACACACACACACACACACACACACACACACACACACACACACACACACACACACACACACACACACACACACACACACACACACACACACACACACGTCATGCCTGGGATGGCAGGAGCTTCAAGTTTTAGTCTTCAGCCTTTACATCAGCAGTTTAGTTTTCTCCTCTCCACCCTATTATTGAATTAGATTTCTTAATGTGAGCTCTCAGATGTAATTGTGGCTGATTATTAGCCCTTTAGTCTTCAACAGTTGTGCTCATTTCAGCGGGCTCACTCTGAATTTAACCTGATTCAGTCTGCCATTTAGCTAATTGAATTTGGAGTGAATCAGTGCTAATGTCAGCACTGTCAACAGCTAGTGAGCAGTATGAGCTGCTGCCAGCAGGGGGGGCCACACACTGGAGTTTTGATCTCCTTTACATAGATCAGAGTGTGTGAGGATGTTTCATGACCTTGGAGATGGATGATAGGCCTTCATGCATTCTGTATACCACAAACACGCATTGATACAGATATTGGATTTTCAACTGAGAGCAAAAGTGGAAAGAAAGAGACCCGAAATGAAGCTCAAGGAAGAAAAAAGAGAGGAGGAGAAGTGCACTGTTGAGCTCCTGAGATGAGTTGTCCTATTGATTATCCATCAAAGGTGCGGTGAAAGCCTTCTCATATGACCCTGACCTGTATTCCTTTTGTAAAACAAATACATGCAACTTCCCCTGACCACAACACTTCGACTTAAATCCCCCCACACTGCCTGCCCTGTTAGAAGTTGTGTTTAAGAAAGCACAACATAATAACAAATGTACAATTCTGTCAGATCTTTACTATGCTTAGGGTGTCTAAACTATGTTTGGGAAGGCTGAGTGAATGGTAGTAAACAATGAGTCATATTACTTTAGTTATCAAAAGAAGAGCATATGGAATGGCTTAAAGGTGTGTGATTTAGTGAGAGTGTTTGGGGAAATTACACAATTCTTCCAACTTTCCTAGTGTAAATAAATAAATGCTGTAGTACAGACATTGTTTATGTATTTGTGTATGTATTTGATGTAGTCTGAAGATATGTGAATCAGCAATATCAGACTGTCTTGTTGGGTGTTTATTGGACCAGGGATATTTTGTATCAGGCTCTCATAAATGAGAATATAGCTTGTTTTACTGCTGCATTTATGAACATAACTGTTGTAAACTAAACAGCAAACATTTCTAAAATATGTTAGAGGCGCTATTGTTAGTGTAGCCAAATGGCAAGCCTTCCAGATCCTGACACATCTAATTTTGTCATCAATTTGCTAAGAGGCTTTAACTACTTTCTCCAAAATACTCTCGCTGCTCTTTTCCACCTGAAGATTTATGTTTAAAGGTCCCCTATTATATTGTCTTTCATCAATATATTATAGGTCTCAGATATATACAAAACATGTCTCTGAACTGTTTGGCTCGAAACACCAAACAGATCATGCATTGTAGCATCCCATAATCCCCTCTGTTTCAGCCCTGTTTCAAAAGGGCTGATTCTCTGTCTTTTACTTTCGATGAAAATAAGGTACCACTCCCCACGCCCCTCTGCGATATATTTGGTTTAAAAAAACTCAATGGTCCTCTAGGAGGAGATTCAGGTGATAAGGTAGGGTGGGGGGGGGGTAATTCAAATAATAATTACGAAAAAAATGCAAAAAAAATTAGATCTTAAAATATATTTTAAGATCATGTTTAATCATCTGATTCGTCTGTACATTGCTGTTTTAGTCTGTGTTCTAATTAGTGTCTACAGTGTGCCGTTTTGAGCCATGTGGGTCAAGCCCCGATCTAGCCCCTCTCTCTCACTGTCTAAGTGAATGGGTGCTGTACTATGGTGCTGTATCATGCTGCTTCCCTGATGGCTTCCACAGGATTGTAGCTGACATCCTCATGGATTCATCTTCTTATTACAGACACATGCATTTCCTAACATTCGGTCTATATGCTGTAAAATGTATTATCTCTTCGATTTACACACGGCATCTATTGCACGTCTGTCCGTCCTGGGAGAGGGATCCCTCCTCTGTTGCTCTCCCTGAGGTTTCTCCCATTTTTTCCCCTTAAACTGTGGGTTTTCTCTGGAAGTTTTTCCTTGTATAGAGGGTGTTGTAGTGCTAGGAAAAGGGAGTCGGAGGCGGTGTATTAAGAACAGAGTTCTAATCTTTATTAGCCATTAATAACAGAGAGGTTATCACATCAACTGCTCTGCTTGATAAGCTAGCAGGAATGGAAGCTAACGCTACAGGTGTTCCCACTAAAGGGTCCGTGTGGCAACACAATACGAGAGGTGAATTATGTCCAATAACGTGTCACCACACAAGCCCCCCCCAGAATTCACGTGTAAACAAAATCCGTATGGCGGGGAGGAACAATCCGCCTGCCCCCACGAGACCTGCGCACCGGAGTCGGTACAGAGACCTCCGCCCGTGCGGCCCTTGACAGAGGAGGGACCGGAACAACAGGTCCACACTCCCTGACAGGAATCAAAGCCGGGGGTCGGCCCCGTCTCGGCGGCCGAGCCAGCACCACCGGCCGGTCCACGTGCAAGTGAGCAGCCTTCACCCGGTCAACCGAGACGTGCTCAGCCTTACCGCCCATGTCGACCACCAGGTGTTTTTCACCGTGTTCCAAAACCCGGAAAGGTCCATCGTAAGGGGGCTGCAGGGGGCCTCTGTGTGCGTCGTGACGAATGAAGACGTGCCCAGCCGAGCGTAGCTCCGCGGGAACTCGAGACCCTGGCGCACCGTGCTGAGTAGTCGGGACTGGAGCGAAAGCCTCCGCCGCGTCACACAGAAAAACTCGCTGGGCCGTGGCAGACCAGGGAGCTGATGCATTTGGGAGGAAATCCCCCAGAACTCTCAGCGGCTGACCGTAGACCATCTCCGCTGTAGAACACTGCAGATCTTCCTTAGGTGCGGTCCTCAGGCCCAGCATCACCCAGGGCAGCTTGTCGACTCAGTTACCGTCCGTAAGGCCGGCCTTGAGGGCCGCCTTCATGGAGCGATGGAAGCGCTCGCAGAGGCCGTTAGCCTGAGGGCGATAAGCGGTAGTCCTGTGCAGCTTAACCCCCAAACCGCCTGCCACAGCGTTCCAGAGCTCGGACGTGAACTGAGAGCCCCTGTCTGAGGAAATGTCTGACGGGGTGCCAAAACGACACACCCACGTTGCAAAGAAGGCCCGGGCAACGTCTGCGGCTGATGTCGAAACGAGCGAAACCGCCTCCGGCCAACGGGTCGTTCTGTCCACCATGGTGTGGAGGTAGGAAAACCCCTGAGAGGAAGGCAATGGACCAACCAGGTCAATGTTGACGTGATCAAACCTCCTCTCAGGCACCAGGAAACGCTCCAACAGGGCCTTCGTGTGGCGGTGCACCTTAGCGCGTTGACAAGCCATGCACTCCCTGGCCCAAGTCCTCACGTCCCTTTTCAGTCCTTGTCAAACGAACTTCGCCGCTACCAACGTACTGAAGGTTTAACGCCGGGGTGTGACAGGCCGTGCACAGCCTCGAACACAGGACGCCTCCAGCTGGCAGGGACGATAGGCCGCGCCAGGCCCGTAGAGACGTCACACAGGAGAGTAATGCCCGCGTCGCTGAACACCACGTCCTCCAAGCGCAGCCCCGCGCTCTCCACCTTCAGAGCCTGGACGCCGGGATCTGTGACCTGGTCCGCCACCATGCGAGTATAGTCCAGGCCCAACTGGACGGCACCGATGACGACCCTGGAGAGGCAATCAGCAACCAGGTTCGACTTGCCAGCCACGTGCTTAATGTCCGTAGTGAACTCCGATATATAGGACAGCTGCCGCTGCTAACGTGCCGACCAAGGCTCCGCCACTTTTGACATGGCGAAGGTGAGCGGCTTGTGGTCGACAAACGCCGTAAATTCACGGCCTTCCAGCATGAAACGGAAGTGCCGCACGGCCAAATAAAGTCCGAGGAGCTCCCGGTCAAAGGCGCTGTATTTGCGTTCTCTAGGCGTCAGCTCGCGGCTGAAAAAGGCGAGCTGCTGCCAAGCGCCCTCCACCCACTGCTCGTGCACTGCGCCGACCGCGTAGTCCGACGCGTCCGTGGTGATGGAGATGGGAGCCGTAGATGATGGGCAGGGCTCGACATTATAAATGGCCCGCTGGCCCGGAAGCACTATTTAGACACCCCGGGCCAGCATAACGTACTTTCCACTTGCCCGCTCGGGCCACTAAAAATATTGTTTAAAAAAAAATGTTTCCTGTGGTATTGGTATTTTGACTAGCTGTTTCGTTTATTAACGCTACAACATAGTGTTTCGTGAGTCGCTTGTCGTTGTTGGGTGAAAAGCAAACAGCTGTTTGCTGCGGAGCGCAGCGCGAGCTCCTTCACTACAGACTATCGCGCCACCTAACCATTCGCCAAAATGTTTTTAATACCAGCGGTAACCGGCCAAGCGCCGTGCAAAAAACAATCTTCAAATAAAAGAAAGTCACTGGAGGGGTTAAAGGAGAGTGACAGGGAGCATGAGAAGAAGAGGGAGAGAAAGTTTCAGCTTGATCGATGGAGTTGGCTTCTAGTGGTGCAGTGACGCGACCTAAACCCCTTTTATAATCTATCGATTCGATTTATGATTCGAAAATTATAAAAGTAGGGTAGACATGTGGAGATTATCCGGCTGAACAAAACGTGCATTTATCAAAC